AATACAAATTTTTTAATTTACACTTTGCCCTATCTTTTTTGTTTACAATGTCTATTTGAATTTTGTCAGGGGACAAACTTTATAAGATGCATCAAGCCAAATAGCGATATGGTGGCGCATCAATTCGACGGCAACAGCATTATGAATCAACTACGCTGTTCGGGAATGACGTCGGTTCTGGAATTGATGGAGCACGGATATCCTAGTCGGGTGCCTTTCCACGAACTCTATAATATGTACAAGTCCTTCTTGCCGCCGGAACTCGCCAAGCTCGATCCCAGATTCTTTTGCGAGGCACTGCTGCACAGTCTAAAGCTGAACCAGAAAGACTTCAAGTTCGGTATCACCCGAGTTTTCTTCAAACCGGGCAAGTTCGCGGAATTCGACCGGATTATGAAGTCCGATCCGGAGAATCTGCGCAAGCTAGTCGCCAACGTGAAGAAGTGGTTGCTGAAGTCGCGCTGGAACAAGCTGCAGTTCTGTGCATTGTCGGTGATCAAGCTGAAGAACAAGATCATCTATCGACAACAGCACCTGATAGTGTTACAGAAAACGGCAAGGATGTACATCGCAAAGAAACAGCATCGACCACGTTTCCGCGGTATTATGAAAATCAAGAATCTACGGAAGCAGTTGACACGAATGGAGGAGACGGCGAATCAGTTGAAGAATCGGGAGAGATCGACGCAAGATATGAAGAGGCTCGATGACGATCTAGAGGCAGCTATACGTAAAATCAAGAACAATCCGAGAATTGCACCGACAGAGATCGACGGTCTTTACACATCTCTGGTAAATCAAGTGAATAAGCAAATGGCCGCTCTTCAAGACATGGTAAAGCAACAGAAAGTCGCTGAGGAACAGGCAAGACTAAGGAAGATTCAACAGGAGCTCGAACTAGAGAAGAAACGAAAGGAGGAGGAGGAACGCAGGAAGAGGGAAGAAGAAGAGAACAGGAGGAAAAAACTCGATATGGAAGCCAGAAGGAAGATCGAAGAAGAACAGAGGAGAAAACAGGAGGAGGAGGATCAAAAGACCGCGGCTGCTCTTCAGGTTCGTTGAGTTTCTGTGCGATTATATCAATTTATAAACAAGTAAATTTTAGTTTAAAAATCTAAATTGTTATAAACAAGGTATTTATATATTTTTATTTTGTGTGCTTATAAATACATATTTTTTAATTCAAGAAATAATAAATATTAAAAATTATATGTTTATATTTACCGAAAAATTGACAAATTGTCTGACAGTTTTTATAAATAATTATTAATATATGTGTGCTCTATTTCTGTATTATTTAAAGACTCAATTAGAGAAAGAAGCTATGGAAGAGAGTCGATATCGAGAATTATTGGAGCAAGAAAGAAGAGATCACGAATTGGCGGTCAGGCTTGCTCAAGAATCGAATGGACAAGTTGAGGATTCTCCGCCGCCTATACGAAGGTAAAATCTTATTTATTAATTAATTAATTGACACGAACAGAAATATAAACGAATTCTAAATTATGAAATTATTAAAATTACGATTCAGTTGTAATTTGAAATTTAATTGTATTTCATCGATATATTGATCGATATATAATTTTAAACACGGTTAAAATATGAGAAAAATCAAGAACGTTGTTAAAACAGAAATAAGATGTTATTTTGTTGTTTAAATTGACGCAGTGGCTCCGATGTACGAGCACCTATGAACAACAACAGGCTAATCAGGTACCGTATAATTTTTCGGGTTTCTCGTGCTAAAGACTAACTGCTAATGAGATTCCTTTTTTCGAATGAATTAATAATCCTCATCACACACGCAGTGATCCACACTCATTTTTCATCGACCGATCCTTCGATAACACTTATTCCGCGAATAAATCATTTCCTGTCAAAGAAAGTAATTTCTTGAAGAATCTGTCAAAGAAAATTAATGATTCCATGTACATTTCTAGGCATACTATTAATCGTGGGATTTATTTTAACACTTTCAGATTTTTGTGTAGATTTTTTTTACTCACACTGAACCGCACGATGCACTAATTTCAGCTTGCATTAACTTTCTTGTTGACTAATGCCAACGAATATATCATATGCCTTAATGCACGGTATATTCCAGTGTTAAAGTGCTGTGTTACGGAATGTTATAAAACCGTGATTACGTAATATTTTTTATGAGTATGTGTTCTTGGCGTAGATCGGAGCAGGTACGTAACCAACAGGCGGCTATGAGCAACAAGAAGTACGATTTGTCTAAGTGGAAGTACTCTGAGCTGCGAGATGCAATCAATACGTCCTGCGACATCGAGTTACTTGAAGTACGTATACATGCATATCGGTTACATAACCGTAACTTTTTTTTTATTTAAAATTACTTATTCCAGGCTTGTCGTCATGAGTTTCATCGCAGACTGAAAGTTTATCACGCTTGGAAGGCGAGAAACCGCAGGAGAACCATTATGGACGAAAATGAGAGAGCGCCAAAGTCCATTATGGAAGAAGGTAAATGATCACAATCACTGCAAATTAATAATAATAAAGTAGTGTTAATTGTAATTAAATTAATAAATGGCTCTTTGAATAATCTATAATTATTGAAAAAATTTTGTTGAAAATGTATATATTGATATATTATATATATAATCTTTTAAAATTAGCATTTAAAATCCTCCTTTTGCACCATAGGTTCTTAGACATCTATTGCCAAAAATAGAATATTAAAGCAGTTTTATAAAAATCTTGCAAAAAAAATAATCAAATGGTCAATTCAACAGTGTGAAATTATAAGAGTTTTATAAAGTAGATTTTATGTTACACTTCTTAATAAATTAATTAACAATAGACTAATAGGTGATGACTGAAAAATATCTATCGCCATCTGTGATCTGAAAACAATAATTTTAAATCGATATATCGTTTTCCAGCTGCGAAAACACCAAGAACGCCTTTGAAGCAACAGATAGTTGAGTCGTCTCAGAGATATTTTCGAATTCCTTTCGTTCGTTCCTCTGCGGCCGGGCAACAGGACAACACGCATGGTGGAGGCAAAAGAGGATGGTGGTACGCGCACTTTGACGGTCAATATGTGGCACGGCAAATGGAGCTTCATCCCGATAAACCGCCTATACTCCTCGTGGCAGGTAAAATCTCATAACGCTTTTATTTTTATGTATTTGTTATGTTAATGCGACGAACACTCTGCATTGCAAATATAATGCTTTGAATAGTGTATTTTCCGAAAGGCAATGAGTAACAATTAATTCAGATAAAAACGATTAATCTCTTCCATTGACTAAGTATATGTTTATAATGTTAACTTTATTCTTTTTTTTTATTTCATTTTTCTCACGACTAATTATTTTTAAATATGCTCATGAATAATTTTTTTAGAATACCATATTTTATACTATCTGACATTCGAATTTTCATTTTATTATCTCAAAGCACGAAGAATACGAACTGATATACTGTCAAATTTTATAGGATAACGAATTTTGTATTAATAATATATTTGTATTAAATTGTAATTTTGAGAATTGTAACATTGAAAATGACCCGACCGGAGTCGAAACGTCTGTTAATTTGTAGCTACATGTTTTAATATTAAAGTTTTAATTTTAGTATATTATTGGCTCTTTGCCCTTTATTATTTTAATTAATTAATCTTTTTATTCATAATATAATAAATGAAATATATGAAATAAAAAGTGTAAAATCTAGGAATTATTTTTTTATTTATATTTATTCACATGATACTAATGCGGTTATCGATATTTTTGTAACTTCACAATGTCTTTGACAGAAATGCCCTTGCCAGATTTGTATGAGATATTACTTTATACACATATTCATTGTGTTATGTTAATTTTCATTTCAAAGAATTATTTTTTGTTTGTTAGGCATTGACGATATGCAAATGTGCGAGTTAAGTCTAGATGAGACTGGATTAACGAGGAAACGCGGTGCCGAGGTTCTAGAACATGAATTCAATCGTGAGTGGGAAAAATATGGCGGTAAACCATATATAGCGCCGTGCGATCGCAAGAAGTGAAGAAATTCGCGACGCAGCTATGGGAGAATTATACTTCTGCGTTACGTCGCGCAAAGAAAGAAACGCCGCATAAATTAGCGCGGAAATTTGTTATCTTTACGTATCTTACGTAGGTCCGATGAATACATCGGCGATTCTGTGCCTTGCGAGATGTGCCTTGTACATTACAGCACAGGCGATACATTTGTATCGTAAATTACATTTTACGTCATATAGTTACGTAAGTCGAAGAACTCCTTCATCGATATATTATCGTAAACTAAAATTCCTATTTTTTTTAAATCTAGCTTTTAACGATTCTAGCAGTTGTTGACTTATCAGTATTCTATATAATTTTATACTAAATAATTGGAGAGAATTATATAATAACTTTAAAAAATATGCGCGATATGTAATTGCAACTTACTTTTTTTCGCAATAAAGTTTCGCAATTTTGAAGCATTCTCTATTTATAAACAAGAGCAGAAGTAGATAAGATATATCGTGGTTCCTTACATTAAGCTCATGCATTGTTAGCATATATTTTTGCAAGCTATAAAAATAATCTTGATTAAACAATTTGATAAAAATAATTTTGATGTAATAACAAGTTTACGTTATTAATGATGATATTTAGTACATAAGTCGTTTGGAATAAAAATAATAATAAAGAATATACGAAAAAAACGGACAAAAAATAATTTATACTATCAGTTATACTGTACAAACTGAATAATTATCAACAAAGTAATATATGTCGAATTAAATTTTGCAAAGATTTAATGCTGAGTAGTATCTATTAAAAGCGGTAGTGATCTCATCCAGATGATTTATTAGAATTCTCACGTATTGTTACACACATATTATAATTACACATAGTGATATTAATAAATATTTATACAAACTTATTATTAATAAATCTTTAGAGAGTAGAGAGCATACACATTTTATTTCGAAACTTCATATTTTCAGATTTGTATGCGGATTTTTCAGATTTATACAGATTTGTGTTTATTTTTTCAGAATATTGCTAGTATTATTGCTAGTATTAAAGATTCTCCCTATTTGTGTCTTTACAAAAATACAACTTCCAACTTAGTATAATTTATTTACAAAAAATTTTAAGGCATCTACTAATCGCTTATTGATACTGATGGTGGTACCCAGCCACCAAACGCTATCTCTAATTCTTTTGCAACCGCCAGGCAGAGACGGTCTTGATAAGGCGCTGCTATGACCTATAAGTTTATATACGTATTAACAAGAAATGAAATATCTTATTATGATTTCATGCATATGCATTTTAGATTTTTCCATTGCAAGAGGCAGAAAGAAAACTCTGTTATTTAAACTGAATTAATTAATTGAAATTTACCTGAACGCCTATGGGCATCCCCTCGTGATTAAGTCCCATCGGAACGTGCATCGCGGGAAAACCGAAAATATTGAATATCCCACAGTTCGAAACGGATATCATTTCGAATATCACAAGCTCCGGAAGAAATTGCTTTCGGAAGGTCGGGTAAATAAGTATACCGTTGTCTCCCAATAGATCCTATAGGACAGATGAAAGATGAAAGCGGAAGTGTATAGAAAACTGTTAACGCGCAGAATTGACTCATACTGCAGACACGATAATTGTATTAGACTTCCAGAATACTAACCAGCAGTTTTTGTCGAATCTCCTCTGCATGTTTCGTGTAATGCGATATCTCTGAATCCGTGAATGGAAAATGTGTCTCAAACGGTATAGTGAAGAATATCAGCTGTTTTGTATGTTGCGACAGATTAAATAGAGCTTTCACCATTTCAATGTTTGCATTCTTATGGTTCTGCGACAATAATAAATCGATAACAAAATTGAAGCATATATATATATATATATACCTTTTATATCTATAGTTGTATATCTAATGTAACTGTATATAATAATTTATATTTTATTTCTCCGATATTTAAATTCTAATAATAATATTTATGCATCTCTCGCAACATTGATAAATTAAGTGACGTATCCCGCTTCTGAAGCAACATTGCGACAATCCTGCATTAGGAGGCTGCAATATCTCTATCGTAATATCTCACAGTGAAATATGTCTACATTTTTTCAGTGCGATATGAAAAGGGCACGTACGTGATGTGACTTTCACGTACGGAAAATTAGCTAAAGTCATTAAAATCTTCCTTATATTCCTATTGTGTAACTCTTAAAGATATCAACGATATCATATTACATTGTCTTTACGTGGATTTTATATATGGTAAAGAAACTACGCAATGACAATAGAATAGTACTGACCCTATCATTAGGAGTTACAAATCCTATTCTACAATATATATTTTGCTTTTTACTATTTTTCATATCTCGTCTTTTTGCTTCTTATTCAGTTTTTTGTTTTCTATCGTCCGATATCAAAAGTTAACGAAAAAAGGAAGAAACAAGAAATATACGTAGCAAAAAACACATTATGAAACAAACTTAAGTTTAAACTATATAATATAATGATTTTCGTGCATTCTGCATCTTTTATACCTTAGGATTGTTCGCATCTAGCAGCAATTGAGGGGGCTCTTTTATATTCAAGAATCCCGTTAATACAATATCGGTAATTGTCTCTGGCCACTTGATTGGTAACTGTAATGTCAAGTTAACTTACGTTAAATCCTGCGTGCGTACCGATATACCGGCTGCAAACACTGTACCTTCTCAGCACGAATATTATGTCGTGTGAAATAATTAGCAGCTTTCAGAACGCAATTCTCAATTTCCTGTGACATGGGTAATACACCAAACGATTTGTCCAAACTTTGTCGATAGTAGATCTTTATTTGCTTTAGGTCCACCGGCACATCTAAACGCAGGTCGTGATTGCATTTCGATGTCATCACTCTCATGAGCAAACCAAGATCCTCGGCGTACCTAGTCATCGGGCCGAAGGTCATGAACTTATGAAAGTGTTTGTCGTCGGTGTGTGGGAAATGGCCATTAGTCGGAATGATTCCTGTAAAAAAAAAAAAGAGAATATGATTAATATTATAACTACACGAGAGCTACTTTAATTCGTCATTTTATCAGCGAACTTGTAAAATATTTTTCTTTTAGTAATAGGTTTTTTAATCTAAAATAATAAAAAGATTCAAGTCTATCAGTGGATCACAACGGGAATACTGACATATTATAGAAGATTAATTTACCAGATGTGGGTTTGAGCCCGAAAATGCCGTTCAAAAAAGCAGGTATTCTTATGGAACCACACAAGTCTGAGCCAATTCCAATTACGGAACCACCTGCTCCAAGTAATGCACCCTTAAACAAGAATTTATTTAAACATTATTTTCTTTTTATTGAAAGAAATCAATTTGTATCATTTGAAACAGAAATTATATACGTTTTATCTACGTATCTATTATACGGGGTACTGTTGTGATGTGTTTTAATTCGCAAATTTCGAGACAACCTGATCTTATATTAGTTCCAAACGAATGGTATCGCATGATGGTGCATCTAAGTGTTCCGGGAAAGAAAGTGTTCTAAGCGAAAGTCAGTAATGAGTAATAAACAACAACGTATCTTTCGCTCGCGTAAGAATTGGAATCGCGTAGAATTTCGATATTGACCGAAGTTGTGCATTCGAAACCGCGGTAAAACATAGTGTCAATAATATTAATTTAATTGCTAATTGACTAATTATACAGAAAGTATCACACAAAAATATGTTTTCTATTTTTATAACACTTTGTGTTATTTTTTTTTTCGCTCTATCACTCTTCTACTTCATATGGACAATAAATTTTTCTTCAAAAATTTTAAACAATTCTCATATCTTTAATAATTAGAGCTGAATTACCTCTCCACCGGACGATCCACCAGCCGAATATCTAGTGTCATAAGGATTGTAGGTGCGGCCGTACAGTAGATTAGCGCTATCATAACCACTGCTCATCTCAGGCGTGTTGGTGACACACAATGGTATCGCACCGGCATTTCGGAGCATCTCGACAACTGCGGCATCGTAATCCGCCTTTATTCCTTTGCGAGGCAAGGTGCAACCTGTATGACTACAGCCTGCGATCATAGTTAGTCAAACTTTTATTTACTTCATACACAAAAAATTCTTTACAAATCGCGTTCAATGTATTTAATGAAATTGTAATATATGTATATTTGATGTAATTTATACAAGCGTCTTTTCTTTCTGTACATTTTTATATGTACATGTTCTTCGAAATCTTTGAAATGTGAAGATGAAAATGTTGAAGCAACAAATATCAAGGAACTACTCTTACCTTTTACAGCACAACATTCCTTGATAGTAATTGGAACGCCATAAAGCGGCTTTTCTTGTTCTAAAGTTTTAATATCAAATTTGCCGTCTTTCAACTGTTCGTCGTAATTTTTCGCCTCAATTATCGCGTCAGCGAATCGTTCGTCGACAACGGCGTTTAAGAAAGGGTTTACTTCTTTAATACGCGTTATATATTCTTGCACCACTTCGTAGCTCGTAATCTGTTTTTTAAATATATTAAAAAATTGTGTATTTATATTTCTTAACTTTCTTTCTTCTATATGTTATAAAGTATAACAAATTGTAAAAGTCAAATAAAATTTGCAGTAATCACATGGCACGTAAGCAACGTAAGCACAAAACGACAAAAACTATAGCTAAAACTGTATACAGGGAGATTCTTTGTTATAGAAATATAGTAAATGTCTTACCTCTCTTTCTCTGATCTTTTTAGCGAGTTTCGTGGCACTCAACTTATATATGGAACGAGTTATGGGTGGTATACTCGGTGGTTTCTTGCGAAGAAACAACAAGATCGGACGAAATACATCATATATAACGTTTAGGATACTGAACACTATACGTATTTTCCACAACATTGTCTGTAAAGTACGCAGCATTCATTTAATGTGTCAATTGATATTAATTTGACAAACAGTTAAATTCAGCTCAACCGAGTTTTTACTGATTAAGAATTTAAGAAATGCCTGTGTACGCGTTCCAATATACGTATACATGCACCGATATGTTTGAAAACAATGTGCTAATCAGTAAAACATATAACGGCAGAAATTAGCATTATGTAAGGAGTTTTATAGTCATGGACACATCGCATATCGGCATAGTTAGCGATACTAGTAGGTGGTCTTATTGAATTTCGCATTAAATTTCGCGTCACGGTTCGCCGAGCTTCGGATAAACCATAAGTCTATCGCATGCTCGACGTGCATGGATCATTGAATAACAATGTAACTTCTTTCGCAATGGGTCGCGATTAGGTATTTTGGAGCCAATAACTATATATGTGTACGCGTTTCGCATTTGTAACATAAATAAACAAGTTCGTTGCGTCACTTCCTTCGTTCTAAAGACTCGTCCATGGAATTTTGTTATTTAAATTCATATTAAAGTTATACATATACGTACACACAAAATATTGGCGTAACTTCAGAAATAAATTCAAGACACAAAAGTAATACAAAATTAAGTATATAAACGTTTGTTTTATCTAATCTCTCGTTTCCAAGTTTAAATATAGAACGTGTTCGTTACACTAATTCTCGTTACAAACTAAGCTAGTATGACGGTCTCCAATGTCTTACTGACTATTAATGAAAACAATAATATGTGAAGATGCCGTGTGCTATCTCAGCTATGAGAATTATTGAAAACGTTTCTCAAGCAACGTTTCTCAAGAACAACACATCAACGTTAAAATAATAGTAAAATAAATTATGACTGATTGAAAAAAAGGTTCTTAATAATCATTCTAGAGCTATTTGAAATAATTTTAATATCATAATGATTTTGCGTTCTGCTTAAATTATACGACTTAAATATTGAAAAAAAACAAAATTTTAATAAATATTTGTTTGAATAGTTCTAAATAAATACAATATTTACTAAATGTAAATATATAATTATTCATTTAATACAAAAACCGTTAATTTAATTTAAATGTCATATTTTCGTTGAGTGAAAATTTATTATAAATAAATGTCAGGTTTATATATATATATATATGTGTGTGTGTGTGTGTGTATACGTATATCTTACATTCAATTTTTCGTTGACGTTTTCTCGCGCCTATCTCTAAGGAGATATCCTTAACGTTTTAACGCGGTAATAAAGTCTTCTCTTTTTCGCTGTTTACGACGATATTTTCTGCGAAGGAAGGAGTGACTAACGCTAGTATAAATTAACAGATGCGACCTGCCCTTTGGTCAAGTATCACTTCAAAATTATCTTGCACGACGTACATTAAAATCTTAAACCCGGAAATATGCGCACAAGAATCTATCTTGTCGAGTATCTAATCTATCGAGTATTTTGAATAATTCAATTCTTTTCGCACGGGGTGGCATGTATGACGATTTCCTCATCACAAACGTAGAAAGAGAGTTTTCGCTCAACGATATTCAGCGCGATCCTCACTCAAGTTGTTTCAACATTTACGACAGAGCCTCACTGCATCGAAAACGCATTTACTCTTATCTAGTGTGAAAATTACTTCAAAAGATTAAATACTCGATTCTTCAGATCACGCAGTCGTCAGCTTTCTCACCTTTCCCTAAGTGGCACGAGGGTTTGTAGATAATGCGTGCTCTTCGCGATTAAGGAAAACGCTTGCTTTCATGTGTAATATAATTTGCATTATAATTTGTTGCAATTAAACTTTATTAGTTCGTTGTAATTAAATCAATTATATTTACCACTTGAAATAAACGGTGTTTCTTGTAAAATAATAAATAATTTTTTAATCGATGGCAGCTTTCAGATACTTTGCACAGAAAGAGACGATACCACCAAAGTAAAATTTCCAATAAACATCATTAAATTATTACGCATTGACGTAATGCAGAGCAAAGAGTGCTTGCTCCGAAATAAAATAAATGTGTTACTAAAGTGTTTGTTAAAAAGTTAAACGGCGCAAAATTAATCACAGCTCGATAGAAGAATGCCCTGGTAAACATATCACTCAACAAATATAAACGATAATTCTTCTTAAATATATTGATATATATTGATATATTCGATAATTATATCATAATTGTTCAGATTATTCGAAATATCCGAACGAAAATATTTATCTTATCATGTTTTGGAATATTTGCACCAGATACCTAATTTACTTTCTACAGTATATTTTGTACATGGAAAAATATTGAGGTATTTGAAATTATAGCTAGATACATATGAAAATAACCTTTTTCGACCATTAAAATAATGATAGGTTGAACTAGTTGTTAGAATGTCAACTTTTTGCAACGTTTGTCAACGTTTGAACGTTCTACAGCTACACAATTATTTTAACGATTCAATCAAATTATTTTTAGACTTTTCTGTTTGTTTCTTCTGTACAGAGACGAAAGTAATTGATGCTCCTTAATAAGATAAACGATGCGACACATGCATCTTATGATCTCAAGAACGATGATAATCAAACAAGGTTGCTTTTTTTTAAAACATTTTCATAGCGTAACTTGCGGTATAAAAAGAATTTAGTAAAAACGTATTTCACTTATTAATAGAAATGGATGTACACACATCATTATTAAGCTAATAATGTTTCCATGCTCTCAATGTCATTGTCAATAACGTTTTTTAATATATTATTTGCTTCCCGCATATATCTATTATCTATCGTTATCATGCGTCCGTGATAACGTAGATCAAACACAAAACGAAAAATGTAATCTTAAAATATAAAAAAAAATCTTGAAATAAAATTTAAAAAAATTAAAAAAGACGTCTCTTATTTTTTTTTTTACGTGCTTGAGCTTAATTTATAACGCGACGGCAACATCATATCTCGTGGACTTCTAATTTATGACTTAGCTAATCTCATCGTTTTTCTTAGACACAAGTTGTTTCTGAATATTTCCATCCTCTTAAAAGTAAATCACTATTCGCTCGCCGGAAAGATCGCTGTTGTGAAATAAGAAATCGTTTTATTGTATACGTACCGTCAAACTATGTCCAATTCAATATTCAAGCCAATTCCGTTGACTTATTTTTCCTTAGTTTTTAGTCAAACTGACAAGAATACTGAACAAGGATACTGAAAGACGCACAAAAGTGAAAAGTGCCAGATAAAGTGGCAAATACTTTACAGAAGATTTCTTTATTTGGGCATGACGTAAAAGAAAAATATCGCGCACCTGTGAATCTGCAAGAAGTTCCCGTCAAATAATCTGAACAAACTGCTGAACCAGTTTCGATAGTACCCTGTTTGCGTGTACCATCGACGCGCGGCACAGTGGACTGAGTGTAACGATGCCTCGACTTGATATTTCAACAAAAGTCGGTGGGGGAGTCCGAGGGACCTCCAGGGTGCCTTCTGGGGAACTGGTGTTATACTCAATACAGTTGCGTGTGGAGGACGAACGATCAGACGTTAGAAAAACAGATCTGTATGATATATGTATTTAGAATTGCAATCAATTGCTCTCCAATAGTTACACAATCATCACGTTTTCTCTAAACGACTCCGATATTTCATAGTCGATTATTACTAATTCAATAAAGGCTTCTGGATTTAATTGATAGTTTAGGATATTAAATTAATATTTGGATTTACGATTAACATAAAAATTTTTTTTTTTTAAATATATTGTATTTGGATTCTCTCTCTCTCAGAAAAAAAGCGATGTGTTAAATATTATATATATATATATATGTATATTACTTTTTTGTAATATATAATTGTTTTGTGTTTCTTTGAACGTGTATATTATGTAATATACCATGTTCTTGACTATTGTTAAGATATTACAATATTCAAATTAGAATTATTCTTTGTTTTAATTAGAACTTATTTGCAAAACAAATTTAGTTTTTAAATAGAATTCAATACTTATTAGTATGAGATTCTTTGTATAAGAATATAATTATTTTCCCTGTTCTTATTAATAAATTACATAGGTAAGTAAAAGTAAAATAAAATTTATAACTTGATGATATAAATTAAAATTGTAAATTTTGTTTTCTTACTTAGATTTTTAAATGAAAAAGAGGAAGATAGAAATATGTTTTTATCTTATATGCTAAAATATTAAAAATTTATCAAAAATTAAATTCGTTTTAATTGATTGTAATAAAAAATAAGTCCTAATTTGAATATTGATGTGTGTGATCTGGCGACATATTTCAAGTAAAATTTTAATAAAATTCGTTGTATCGATTTCACGCAACGCTGTTAAGCTACAATCAAGTCTGTTGAAGGTAGTAATTTTTTAATTTCCACACGCAATTACATCGCACACACAATAATTATAGTAAAACTAGCGGCTTTTCCTTTCTCCCATAATTGATTCCTATAAAAAATCTTGAAAATTAAGAAATAAATAACATTTATTTATGAATTATATTCCTTTTGCACGCATTCTGCATTTCACCAATCTGTTAAGCCATAAAAAATTGTTAAAATTGAGGAAATTCTCATTTTCTCTCCAGTATATAGAGAAAAAGAGAAAACGTATAAATTTTGCAAAAATTAAAAAAGAACAAGCCGTATATTAATATTTATTAAAACTTAATTTTTTCTTTACTTTTCTGTACATATAATATTATTGTCAATTGTAATTTGTATTAACAATAATCAATCATAATATAAGGGCAAAATAAGAGTCAAAATAAATTAAAATAAAACTGATAACAAATTTACTTATAAAATAAAACTAAATATATTACAATAAATAAGTGATTTACAAAATTATTTGACCTAAAACTAATTTAACTTAAGTGACCAGTTTCGACTCTCTAATTGAATTCTCTAATCGAGTATTTTGTATTATCCACTTTATTACAATAATTCATCTGTTTGTATTGTCTACATAAAAAAAGTTGTAAACATGACGTAACAAACAATAAAAAAACGTGTAAATACAATATTGAAATTTACAAGACATACAACTCTGCTTTATTTATTAATTATTACCGCAGGATACACGAGACGGGCGCCGCGTTGGCGCGAAATCACGGTGAGGGGGAGTTTTTTTGGGGGGGGGGTCATGTTGATTGGCCGAGCGAGTGACCGGGTTCGGCGGAGTGCCGAGAGGGCGCGCTCGCGTGCGCAGCACGCACTCGTGCGGGAGCCAGCGACCGATGGCGACGACCGCCGAGATGTGCCTGCGAAGTTACGCGGAGTCGCCGTACCGTCCTTAGGTCCGCTTCTCGTGTCCCCCTCGCGCTCTGTCCCTGTCGATATTCCGTGTGTTTTCCGTCCCCGCGAGCGAGACGCGCGACGACGACACGTCCTACCGTCGTCGTATTCCCGTCGTCGAGTGCGTGTGCTGCGAATCGTCGCGCGTGAATGCGTGTGTTCGTTAGTGTGCTTAGCGGTGTGGTGTGCGCCGTGTCGAAGAAGTGCCGCCGACCAGATCACGGTAGATCATCCGTCTGTACCGAGCGAGGGGAACAGAGATATACGTATATAGGTAAATATCCCAGAATGCGTGCAAAAGAGAATGAGTGTGTGTGTGTGTGTGAAAGAGAGAGAGAGAGAGAGAAAAGGTGGGACGGAAAGATGGAAAAGAAAACAAGACGTGTGTCCGCGTTGCAGCTCACGGCGAATCGCCGCGAGTACGGGAGAGTTGACACCTCCGCGAGAGCATGGATCCACGGCTACACCGCCAGTCGTCGTCGTCGTCCCCGAGTCGCCAAGAATTCGTGCTGTCGTTCCGGCGTCGTCAGTAAACACCGACGGATATACAGAGTGAGTCATTGCTCTTTTGCTTTCGTCTGTTTCGCTGCTGCTTTCTTCCCTCCTTCGCCGCTTCCGTCCTCTCCGTTTCTCCTTCGTTCCCCGCTTCTCGTGACCGCGCCGCTTCTCGGTTTGTGACTTGCCGCTCGCAATTTCTCTCGGTGCCGATAGCTGACCCTGACCTCTGCGTAACAACCGAGAAAGCACCCGAGGCACATTCGATCCTTACGAGAAAAAGGACCCTCTCTCCGTTTCGCGGCGTCGGAATCATTACTTACGTTTGACGTTTCGTCCCCGGCGTAGTTCCGATAAATTTTTCTGTCCCGGAGGTAAGGGTGAAAGAAAGGGAAAACTACACTTTGAGTCTTGAGACGCGATGGCGTTAAACTCTGTTTACGTTCGTTTGTCGAGTCTCTTTGAGAATCCGAGGGATGTTATTTGGGTTTTTTAATCTCTCGAGTTCATTGTAGTGTAAATTCCTCGCGAACGTTCCAGCATCTGGACACCGTGTTAGCCCTTTACTCTCGTCTTTCGCTTTTTTTACTGTCATCCTTTCATACAGCGACATTTTTTTCGTGCGAGAGAGATGTTCAAAAGACTTTTAGAGAATATCCGGCGATATTAATTTTTTTTAAATATGTTCCGATAATTAAAATCTATAATGAATGATAAACATATTACGCGAAAAAAATATATATATTAAAATGTTGGTAGATCGAAGTAAAAATAATCGTGTTAATTCAATGATTTATTTTAATGAAATTAATGTATATAATATTTTATTAAAGTATGATGTATTTGTTTGATTGATATTGTTATTGAAAATGAACAAGATTATTTTTAATTAGATTACTGTCGGCTAATGCTGTTACATGCGGTTTTTTTTACGTAGAAATATAAAAATATTTTGAGAACCTTTTCGATGACTTTCTCATAAGTCTGTATTAAAGTAACTCGCGTTTAAAACATCATTATTTTACCGCTCTCCGTCCTGCTTCTTAAAGTGCATACTCTACTTTCGATAAATTAAATTGTCAATCAAGGAAACGTCGACTGCATTTAGCAACGAAAAAGAAAAGTCATTTTGCAATTGCTGCAAAATTCAATTTCAATCATATTAAAGAATCTTGCGATAGTCGTAAAGCTGTTTTTTTTTCTGCCGTAATCTTTATTTTGTTATTTATAGTTCAAAAGTTATAGATACAGATAAGTAGGATCATTTCATTGCTGAGAAAATTGATAACTCAATTTACTTCCTTTTAAGACGATTTATCGTTAACGAAGAACAGTTTCTTGATAACAATCTTAAAATATACTTACAAATTTTTGAAAAACTCATTATTATGCGCTCAAAACAAGAATTGCTTTAAAATTATAAAATCGTTTCGATAAGATTCTTTAATATTTAAACTTTTTTTATATCCGAAGTTAAAAAAAATGACATGTACTATCGTCATTGCGAACGAAATGCTGTTGTCTTTGAAAACTTGGTTCGTTATAAAAGTGGGCTACGCCAAGTTCGCAAACGCATAAACGAGCCGAGCGAACGCGTGTGTCGGCGATACGGATGCAGCCGTGCGTTTTCTCGTGCCGCGGTGGTTTTCTGCGGTCGGTGCTTTCGTTTCGACTGGTCGCGGTGCTTTTTCTTCGGCCCGCTCCTTGCTCGCCGCGTCCGTCGTGCCGCACTGTCGATGGTCTCCTACTCGTGCCTCGTATACCGGGTGTCCCATTAGTCACGAACTTGAAAGAGAATTTTTCGGCTTAGAACAGAACCTGCGTAGAACGTGTGTGTATCCGACTGCGCTGTGTTGACGTAAAGAAAAGAGAGAGAGAGAGAGAGAAAAAATGAACAGCGTAACGAAGAGTCGGGCATTTAACGTGCTATTGACATTTTGAGATCCGACCGTTTGGGACTTTGATCTATGCCGACTCTATCGGACTCTCATCCCCGCGCTTCTCACCATAGAAATCTTCAAAGCATACCCCATATCGTTGTCCTCTGACGGACAGTGCACTTGTATTTCCGGAAGCAACACGCGTTGACATTTAGCGAAGAAAGCGCGCGCGGCACAGCTACGCGACAAAAGCGACGTTGACGTTGACGTCGACGTCGTGCTGCGCCGAGGGCACAAGGCAAGGATAATGATATTACGGCTTAAAGAGACGGCTTAACCTAACCGTTAGTTTATTGGCGTGAAGGAGTCGCGGAGCGTGTCTACATCAAAGCGGCCGCTTCTGAGCTCCACTTTGCCCTGCCCCACTCGTCGCCACCACCACCGCTACCGCCGCCGCTGCTGCTGCCATCGCCGTCGCCGTCGTTGCCGTCATCATCATCGTCGTCGTCGTCGTCTCCTCCGGCCATCACTACCACCACTGAAGCCTCTCACTCCGCTTCACCGAACCACGCTATATGTAAGCGGCACCCTCGACGAAGCACGCTGCCCGTGTAGCTGTGTCTATCTATTAACACCTATTAACATCTGAAACGGGACACGCAACTGGCGCAGCCATCGGTCCAGCATTCAGCGAGCCGCGTATCTCGCGGCGACTTATATACGGATGACGACGACACGCGATTTTCGCGATGACGCAGTCATTTTGTCGAAGGATCGCGAATTATCAGATGAATTCGAGCGAAAACGTTTGCAATCATTTGTGAAAATTAAGTTTATACTTAGGAGGATCCTAAAGTACGAGCTGAACTACTCTTCGACGATGTCGATAAACTTGATCACTGCGCTTAATTAGAATCATGTATATATTATTATTTATTAGGTCTATCTCCGTTCGTTCACGAGACAAAAAACTGACCACTTATACGGGGACACCCTATATATTTGGGCGCTGAAAAGAGAAAAGGCAAAGATGCAAAAATGGCAAAGCAACACGTCAGTACCTATGTGTAACGTGTTGCAAAAAATTACTTCATAAATTCACCCGTCGAAGAGGAAGTACCGATAGACTTTGAAATAACTTAAAATCATCGACGACCACCGATCGATCAACGGAATTCGTAAGAAACAGCGCGAGGATCAGGGTTCAAAATCGAAGAGCTCCGAGAATTCTCGGCGCGCGAGGTATCCGGCTTTGTGAAACGCCGCGACGATTACTATTTAGCCGAGCCGTTCTCCCCGCGGGGCTTTTGCCTCCTCCTGTCCTCTTTTATTTACTCCCGCGGCGGCGGCGGCGGAATAGCCGGCTGGTAATAGATAACACACGGGGAAATCTGCCGCGGTGGATCACGCGACCGGAAGAGACGCGTGGCCACCCTCCGTGAAGGCGCCGGGCTGCGCGGGGAGAGGAGAGGAAGAGGTACGGCACGCACGACGATGCACGGTTTGGGAATCCCCCGGAGCACGACACCGCTGAAGCGTCGACAAAGTAGCTGCTGCTGTAGCCCGCGGCGGAGCGCGGGGGGGGGGGGCGGGCGGGAGGGGTGGAGGAGGAAGAGAATTCCTCCCCATTTCGATATCAAAGACTCTCCAGCGAGAACCGCTAAAACGATGCTCTTTGACATCACAAAGCTTTCGGAGTATCCCTCCCCTTCCCCTCTCAACCTTTCTCTTTGCCCGCGGTGTGTCGCCCACACTCTTTCTCTCCACTTTTCTCGAGTCCGTTTCTTGTTTGCCGCAAACGCGCCCGGCCGCCAAAGAAAGTGACTTACGTCGTATATACACTCGGTGCCGTCAATGTCGTCGTCGTCTATAGGCAATATTTTCTCACTGAAATCGCACCGCGCGCTGGTAAAAGGAGAATCTCTTTTAAAGTGTCGCGGCTCTTCGACCTCATGAGATACCGCCTTTCCTTTAATCTACTCTCACGCACGAGTGCGTGTATGTGTGACGTTTCTTTTTAGCGACAAAGACGTCGCGCCCTCGGTTGAAGACTTTGACAGAAATCTGTTCTTCTCCACCTATACAAATACATATCATTTCTGCTGTATTTTCCGAGAGAAATTATCTTATTATCTTAAACAACTAATATATTTTATTTTATTATCTTAACCTTTCTGTTCGTGCTTGCACTGAAAAGGTATTAAATTTTAATAAATATTCGTTTGGATAGTGTTGTAAGTATTTACTCTAAATGTAAACACATGTATTTATTTGATAAAAAAAATCATTAATTTGATTTAACTATCATTTTTTATTCAACAATTATTTATTTACTGCAAGTGTTTACTATTTCAGTGGGAGTATCGGATTTTTAACGGTAAAAATGGTTTTTGTGCAAATTTTATTACGCCTCAAAAAACCCATGTTTTGAACAATAAAGAACAGTTTTTTGTACAGACTTTATTTTGTTTTCACTTTTACATTTTTAGCGGGAACCTTCTGAGATACGAGTATGGTAAAAAATAAAAAATATTTAAGTCAATTCAAAATTATTTAAATCTGAATTTCTTTATTCATTTTTGCGTTAAAATATTTTTTTCTAGCTTCTTTTTCGTTTAAGGGTGTACAATATTAATTTTTGCAAATATGTAATATTTTTGCCTTAAGTAAACTGTACACGTATATGAAAGTTGCGTAATACATTCTTGATATTAAAAAAATATGTATTCACAGAAGGGTTGACGTTTTCAGCCGTCGCGTTACGTGATGGTTATCGCATTGCTTCTAACGTAAACCGGAAGTATCGGCTGCTCTCTGCGACCGGAAGTATCGAATGCTCTCTCTGACGTGATATCATCTGTCTCGTTTGCGATAATTGCCACTGTATCGCCAGCCAGTTTCTCTCTGTTGTTCTCCGTTTGTCCGTTTCTCCTCGGCTGCTCCCCCCTCCAGGTTTCTCGTGCCACTTCAGCTTCCTCGGTGTGTCGCTTCATCGTCGTCTGCCGTTCCAACCGCTTTGATTCGCGTATCTGTCGCAAAGCTAACCGCCGAGCGACGCTAATCGCCCGGTGAATTCGAAGTGTGCTCTCATTCGAGTGCCCTCGCTTTCGGACGAACGGGCGCTATGCTCCTTCTTTCGAAAGTGCCGCGTCGACGAGGGGATCACCGATAAAGGCA